GGAGGGGAGGGGAGGGGGATGGGGGCTGATTAATTTGGTGGTGGTCTCTTGGTAGGGAGTAGGGGAGTGAATCAGACACTGACACGCACACGGAAAGAGGGAGGGCGACGCCGACAGCCGAACGCCCCTCGTGAGACACCGCCCCCGACAGCCCCCAAGCCGCGGGGCCCGCCCTGTCCCCCCGATTAACGCACACAGTATAATATTCTCGATCGCCTGTCTCTCTCTCCCTCCCAATTCACCGCGTACCACATGTTTTTCTTTTTTTGAAGTTGCGTACCACATGGTTGTTCCCTCGAATTACCTTGGCGTGGTGATTCTTTTTATTCTTTTTGTTTACTTGGGCAATGCCGTGAACGTCTTGCTAGAAGGTCTAATTTTTTGGAACTGAGGTTTAGTAGGCATCGGTCAGGTGATGTGAAGGGCCTTCATCGAGGCCATCCGGTGTAAGAGTCGTGGCAATGGGGGTGTCTTACGGTTGCGAGAGAAATTCCTCATTTCGACATTGCCGTGACACCCCCCTCCCTCCCTTGTTCGACGTTTATATTATAGGGAAAAGAATGTATGGGCGAGGGGTTTTGAGATTCAAGGAGTTTCGGTTTACAAGACAGAAAGATTCAACTAAGAAGCCAAGATGGTTTCAACATTTTGGAGTGAGCTTTTCACAAAAGTGAGAAAAATTTGGGAGAACTTTCACAGAGTTTGGAGATGAATTTCGAAATGATTGGCCCAACTTTCATAGGTATGATAAAAAAAAAAGCTTAAGAAATAATTCAACAACGTTTTTGAATATCCAGCAAATAAAACTTTTCAAATCTTGGGCCTGACTTTCAGACCATCCTTGAAAGAATTCGGGAAATTGAAGAACGTGACCTTCGGAATTGTTGTGTGGTGAAGACAGCACTCCAAATGGTGCCCCACCTCGCTGCCGCCAAATCTGGAAGCCATATGGACCCCGGGGGTGCTCGGATCCAGCCATAGCCCTCTCGGATGTGCTAGGATCCAAATGACATGGACAACGCTCCACATGGTGTCCCGCCTTGCCACCTCTGAATTGGCAGCTACATGGACCTTGTCAGTACTCGAATCCGATCGAGCCCTTTCAGCGATGCCAAGATACAGATGGCTGGCATGGAGTATTGCTTGATAAAGGAAGTGCTCCAATTGGTGCCTCACCTTACCACACCAAACCTGGCAACCATATGGACCTCAGCGGTGCTCAGATTCAGCCAAAGCCCTTCGGTGGTGCTAGGATCCAAATGATGCGGAGTATTCCTTGATGAAAGCAGTGCTCCAGTTGGTGCCCCACCTCGCCACCACTGAATTTGGCAGCAACAGAGAGGTTTATGGTGCATGGATCCATCCAAAGCCCTTTAGCGGTGCTAGGATCCAGATGACATGGAGAATTTCTTGATGAAAGCAGCGCTCCAGTTGGTGTCCCGTCTCGCCACCACTGAATTTGGCAGCAACGGAGAGGTCTACGGTGCTCAGATCCATCCAAAGCCCTTCGGCGGCGCTAGGATCTAGATGACATGGAGTATTGCTTCATGAAAGCAGGGCTCTAGTTGGTGTCCCACCTTGCCACCACTGAATTTGGCAGCAACGGAGGGGTCTACGGTGCTCGCATCCATCCAAAGCCCTTTCGACGATGCTAGGATCTATATGACATGGCCCCACAACCCGTGCTCTGATCTAGATGAGCCCTTTATACAATGTTGATATCTAAATGACGTGGCCCACAATCCGGTGCTCGGATCCGGCCGGGTCCTTTTGATAGGGCTAAGGTCCAAACGATGTGGCCCACAACCGATGCTTAGGAATAGGGAGTGTGAGGCAACTTCAGTGGGAACAACGACATTTCTTGCGCCGGTGCCAGTGGGCACATGTGGTGCTTGAGAAGAAGAGGGTGGTGTATGGTACCCTTCAAGGTAGAGGGCGACGAAGTTATGTTGTCTGTGGTTGGGAAAGATGCAAAAAGAGAAACTGAGATAGATGGAGAAGTTGCAAGAGTCACGCGGTGGGAGAAGATAAGAGAGAAGTACGGTTGTCGGGGGGATGAACCCCAAGCAGGCAACGAAACCCGGATCTATTTCAAAAACAGCGGGGCTCGCATCGCCCCGCAAACCGGCGTGCGCCAGGCCGGTCGCTCGACCCAGCAAGGCGCGCAACCCGGCCAAGACCCTCGACTCGGCAAGGTACGTGGACCCGGCCGCAGCGGCTGGCGCAAGGCAACTCAGCCCGGCGCAACCTTGGCTTCCCTAGCAAGCCAAACCACCCGTGGCATCCACCGCAACCCAGCCACGGGTCAACTCCCGTCCCATCCAGGCCGTACGATGGGACGAGACCTCAATCACCGATGACCAAGACTACAGTGCCCCCGCCCATGCCCGTGGTCAGCCGGAGCGTGGCAACAGTGCCCCTTACCTACCCGCTGACCAGGGCTGGCACGACAACAGTATTCCCGTCCTCACCGCTGACGACAGCAAGCGGCGGCCTGACGGAGAACACTGTGCGCGGCTCGACTCGGCCACGCCATGACGATCGACAAGACGGTGCATAGTCCCCCTAGGCACACGGGGCCCGCACCTAGGGGAACCCGCCGAACCACAAGCTCCCAAGCGGGACCCAGCCCGGTACCCCGGACACCGACAATACGGACCCACCGACTCAACATATTACCATTGTAACCCTAGGTGGGTTGATCTATAAAACCCCCCAGGAGCCCACGCCTATATTGCGTCCATATTTCACATCACTTCACTACCGAACCCGGCCGCCGGCTCGACTAGCTCAACCCGGGGGCTCGGGGGCTGGCCGGCTTGATCATCACCCAGTCGCTTTACTTGGTGATTCCTGATAAAGTTAGGTTGCCGCGGTCCCCCACTTCACCCTAAAACCACAGATCCAGCTCTGGCTGACGGCGGGCAAGCACAACGGGCTAAAGCTCCCCTACGATTCATACACTAAGTCAAGGCCGCCGGGTCGACCAACCCGGCCCGATGCTCGTCAACTAAGTTAGCCGCACGACCAGCTGCTCACCAACCGGCCAAGCCGGATTGCCGCCAGCCGGCCCAGTGGGTGTTTCGCTCGCGCTCAACGCTTCTAAGGACCCAACTCCTGCGTCCGCCTCTCGAAGAGCCGAACTCCTTGTCACGGACCGGAGCCTCGGCCGTCTGACTCGCGGGAGGTAAGTTTCAGAGAGGAAAAACGCATGAAATAAGTTCGAAAAAAGCAGAAGGCAAAAAGCAAATAAACACTCACAACATTTACACGTAAATGTTTCAAGCAAAGGCCCACGGCCCGAGTTCATTACACCCTGAAAACCCCCAGTGGGTGGGTGGACCTGCTACTTAACAGAATTTTCTACAAAGATTCTCAGGCATTCCCAGCGTCGCGCGGCGACGTCGACGGCTCCCCCCCCCGGCCGGCCTCCGGGTCCAGTGAAGCACCGGTGTCCTCTTCGGCTTCTGCGTCGCCGTAGACGCCCGTCTCCTCCGAGCTGCCCTTCGGGTCGCGAAGAAGCAAGCCGTAGTCGTCGCCATCCACGACTGCGCCGTCTTTCATCCGTTCCAGATGGAACTCGTCGTGGAAGGCGAACTCGGAAATATAGCTGGCCCGGGAGGCGATCTGGCCGGCCTGCTCCTGCAGCAACTGCTCCGAGCCTGCGCGCTGACCCATCAGTGCATCCAGCTGAAGTTCCGGATGCCAAGACAGCGCGATCCGGAGCGCCATCTCAGCACCGGCCCGGGCGGCAGAAACGTGCCAGTCGCTAAGGCGATCCGGGCCCATCTCCAACCAGTGCGCCAGGCGCGAGAAGCTGCGCGGATGGACGGAGTCCAGCCACAAGGCCGCCATCATCGCGGTGCCAGCTCGGGACAACCGCTCCATCTGCGTCCCCAAGACCCGCAACCGGGCCTCAGCAGCGGCAATAATCTCCGGCAAAGTCTAGGCCGTCAGTGGATCCGTCCCGGACCCAACAACGCCGGTCGGGTCGCACTGATAGCGGACGACTTCTTCCGCCAGCCGCTGCGTCTTCGGAAAGGCCCCTGCAGCCAAAGAAGAAGCAAGTTAGAAGAGCAACAAGGAAGGAAGGGCCGGTCCCTGACCCGGCAAACAATGAAGAAGCAACACTTACTAGAGAAAGACTCTTCCAGGTGTTGCGCCTCGAGCAATGTACCACGTCGCTCCCGCTCCAAGACATGGTCCCGCTCCCCGAGCGCCTTCTCCAGGTCGGCCGCCTTAGCAAGGGCCGCCTTCAGCATGGCGTCCTTGTCTTCGGCCGCCTTCTCGGCCGCCTCACGGCGGCGAGCCTCGGCCTGGCGGGCCTCCTCAGCCGTGGTGGCCTGCTCCCGCAGATGCTCCACCTCGGCCTGGAGCCGGCCCTTGTCGTTGACCAGCTGGCTGCACTGCTGGTCCACCTCGACCAGGGCCTGCTGCGTCTCCACCACCTTGGCGGCCTCCGCCTTAAGAAGCTCCACCTCGGCCTTGAGGCGGCTCTTGTGACCCGCCAGCTGCTCGTGCAGCCGGTTGGCCTCGTCAAGAGACCGCCGGGCCGCAGCCGCCTCCGCCTTCGCCTGCGCCGGCTTGACACCGAGACGGCCGGAATCAGCAACAAGCCGGTCATAGTGATGACCAGCCAGGAACAGCCGGGTCCGCCAAGACAACACCTCGGCTGCGAAGAAGAAGAACTCAGCAGAAAGAAAGAAAAAGACAAGACCTAAGATTTGGCCCAACTGTTACACAGTTGGCCCGAATCTCGAAGAAAAGAACACAACAAAATACCTGTGGC